ATTTTGATCTTTTTTTTATTTGATTATCTAATAACTTATTTTAATGTTTTTGTTTTATTAATAAACAGCATACTGATCGATTCATTAATTATTTGTTAGAAAGAAAAACGTCTACCAGAAGAGGGTGGTTCTGAAGAACTTCATAAGTTTTTTTCGAATGTGAAGAACATTGCTGCATTTGCGCAATGTGTGTACCAAGTTATGAATGAGTTGCCTTACGCAAATTCCAAACAATTACTATTTTTAAATGCTCTTGAAGAATGTGTGGTAATTTCTTTAAATTTAGTATTTAGAGGTGTGCCGCTTATCATGTAATATACTATATAGTAGTGTTGGACGATGACAATATCATAATGTCATGTGATATTTATCTAATATAGAATTATAAAAATCACATGTCATATATTAAAGAATCATGTCATATTATTATTAATATATGATGCTTCATATAAGATTGTAATATGACAAATTATATAAGTCATGTCATTCGTATGAAATCATAGTCCAACACTGCTATATAGACGCTGCCCTTCTCTTCCCTCAAAAAATTATATAATAAATAGCATACCTCTTATTAGAATTTGCTTTGAAAATTTTCAATTACTAATATTCTAAAACTCTAAATATTTGTTTCTAGAACGTTCCCAATAAAACAAACATTCATGAAATGATATTTATTGCATTTAAAAATTCTATTAATGTAATTGATTTTGAAAGTTTGGGGAATTTGGCTCCAATTTTATCTTTTATTATAGATTTCGATGATCCTGATCGGCAAATTCATGACTATTTTCGTTCAATGTTTGCTAACAAATACGAAGAATTAAGCAAAGTGAAAGAACCAATTTTTTCAGCTGAAGTAGAAGAATTTTTGAAAAAATATGCTGAAAATAAAAAGGCACCATCAATTCGTATTACCGATGATTTATTAATTGTAGCCAGTATACTTTTTCTTCAAATATAAGCTTTAAATTACAGAATCTATATATATTTATATTTATAATCTCAACTAATATAACAACTTCGCAGTTTTAAATTGCAACAAAATATGCATTTACAAACATGCAAACGAGACAATAAATGGATGAAGGAACGTGGGCAAAACTTACTATAGATAGCTTTATCGAAGTTATTACTAATGATCTTCATGATAATATATCGGTTATTTGGTAAGCAAAATAGATATAAGCTTTACAATTTACAAATCATGAAATAATAAATTTTAATAGGGGTGACAGTGTTGATCAAGCAACAAAGAATTGTAAAACCGTAACAATTGATCAAAGGCTTTTAAAAAAGTCTACAACTAATTCGAAAGAAAAATCACATGGAAAACGTCCTGATTCAAGAATTTGTTTGAGTGATGAAGAAATAACAATTACACTTGCTTATTGTGAAATTGCCGGTCCACCCTTTAACATAATTGATGAATTCAAGTGGGAATCTGATCGTCGAAAATTAATCAAAA